TAAATTTACCATACGAATCTTTTTGATAAACTGGTAAAGCCAGTTTTACTTTATGGATGTGAAATCTGGGGGTTTGGAAATGTTGATATTAATTGAAAAAGTTCAATTAAAGTTTTACAAATATAGTTTTTTAAACTTAAGAAATCAACACCTTCATACATGGTATATGGTGAACTTGGAATTTTTTCCAGTTCGTATTGATATATACCAAAGAGTTATATCCTTTTGGACGAAACTAATAAATTGTTCGAGCGAAAATACCGACGAAAACTATCTGGTAAGGTTTACAGCATGTTATATGAAATGAATACTTTTAAACAATGTTAAAGTCCCAATGGATCGAAAATGTTAGAAATTTGTTATGTTCTTGGATTTCAGGTTTTCTGGAGTATGGTACTGTCAGAGGTTTTTAAATGAGAAATGGCTGATTGGGTCAATTTGCCGAAAGTTAAAAGATAATTTTATACAGAAATGGCGCTCTGATATACAATTAACATCAAACACGAATATTTACAAAGGTATTAAAACTGAGTTTGGTAGAAGTGCTTATATTAAGATTTTGTCATCTAGACCACGGATTTATATTACAGGGATCGGACACTCCCAGTTAACCCTATATAAATGCTTTAATATCTTGTAATATAAATCCGTGTCTAGACGAAGCTTATCAATTATGCGTTTTTTTTACTAGAAATCATAGGCTACCTGTGGAAACAGGAAGATGGCAGGGTATACCTTCTTCTGAAAGAAAAAATGTTCCTTTTGTAATGATGATGTAGGTGACGAATTTCATTATTTGTTCAAATGTCAAAAGTTTTTTGAGGAAAGAAAAAAGTATTTAAAACGGTATTTTTATGTTAATCCCAATTTTTTTCAAATTAGAAGAATTGTTTAGTAGTGAAAATAAAAGTTTACTGAATAAACTTAGTATTTTTATCGAAATTATATCTAAAAATTTGTAATACTGATATGCCTGGATTGCTTGTTTACTTTGAAACATATATTTATTTGCTATATGTATGTTTTTTGTAATGTTACATGTATGATTTGGATATGTTTGTCATTCTCTATTTACATAGCACTTGTTAATATGCCGCCATTATTCACTGTAATTATTATAAAACGATGCTTATGTTGTTTACTTGATGTAAACCTAAGATGGAAATAAAAAGTTTGAAAGTTTGAAAGTTGGCCAGTGTATGACACCTTCACTCAGGAAGCCACAAGGGTAATTAATCTTTTAATTAATCAAAAATAATTGCCGATAATTGTTTGTTGGAAGGGGTACGTAGATATACCAATCAAAGGATAGTGTCACCATTGCAATGCTGTTAGGGATAATCGTTCGTTATTAGCGTTCTAGATAAGTTTTACAAAAACTTGACAATAAAATTATATAAAAAAGTAAAATTTCTTGCTTCAAAGTAGATTATTTAAGATTTTTTTTTACCGGGAACACATAAATCATCTCCGGGACAGACACCTTATTTCAGGGATTGTCCATGGCATGTATGACAATGACTGAATAATTTTTGATTATTCATTGAGGCCTACAAATTTTATTTCACAAATCTATTATTTTAAGCCCAACAGGCACTTGAATTTCAAACAAAGCTACCGTAGTTTCCAAAAATTTTGTGTTGCTACGTCATTAGTATACGTATCCAATACGTCATGAATTATGCCTAGATCTATATTTATCGTCTTGGTTAGCGTAAATATGCAGATATTGCTCGAGTATAATCGTTAATGTTTGCTGGGTAAGTAAAGAGTAAGTTATCATCGTTAATTTTCGTCAGCATCTGAAGTACATGTTAATATGACCTGCCACATACACTTTCATATTTAAAAGAAATTAAGAAGAAAGCACTACTGCAGCATATAGATAGATAAGTTGGTTGAGTAAAAATTGGGGAATTTTATTAAAGAATCGACTGATTGAATTTCCATGGTCAAGCAATAAAAAAGAAATACTGATGTCTTTATTTTATGCAAAAAAAATCTTTTTTAGATTATTACTTTTCGATATTATTTTACCACACAATTCATATCATCTTTTGATTTCAAAAATTTAAGATTTATGTCATTCATAATAAAAATATGAACATATTTAGGTAGAGTTTTGCCTTCCGTACTCCCGGTTGATGTAAACCTGACTTTTTAATCATGACGTAGACCAGATAACGCCAGAAAACGAAATAGCTTGCAACTGAAAGCCCGCTCTATTACAAGCAACTTCCAAGGTTATGCAAAGTGTTTTGATAAAACGGCTTTATAAACTGACAAAGATCCAATATTCTGCACTGAAGCACTGGTGGCACTATACAAAAACAAATTGGTTTATAATCTCACAACCTTCACCTTTTTGACATTCTGAGACCCAAACAAATTCAGCGCCTTCTGTGCTTTGATTTATGAATGTCTCAATACAGATACGAGATCTCCCCTGACACATAGACTTTTGATGAATATACACGTGTATCAAACACCCGTGCCGATTTTACGACCCCGTACTGTTTATATTTTTGACGTCACTCATCGAGACCCTCCTCCTATCCCTTCAAAATCATATTTATATGTTAAAAAAGGGAGGCATATTGAGAGTGAATGCCTTTCGATATGTTATGGATTTTTTTGTACGGAAATCAACTCCAGCGTACTGGGAAAAATGTTAATGTTGTGTGAGTACTCATTTTTTTTATCTGTATTAGATTACTCTGATCATAGCAATATAACTAGAAAATCCTTAAGTACTAACTTAATTATATGGCTAAAGGAACATCTAGTCTTGGACTCTTAAAATAGGAAGTTATATATCGCGCAATATTTTCTACAAGCCGTTTATATCAGTGGCCCCTGTGAAATTAATCAAAGTGCTGCAGCACTGAATGCGACGGACATGCAACCGGGGAGACCTTTAGGGTTATTTAGAAAAAAAAAGTAAAACACAAAATATAGGAATCTATAACAGAGAAAAGTTCCATACAAGGAGCAATATATTTTGTGTCCCAATCTGATATAATCCAGATTTTCTACTTTCAAGCAGAATGAAATATATGCCTAAAACCCTGGTCAAACTTGTAAATCAGTGTCATTATCGATTTATTCCAAGAAATGATATGTAAATGGAAAAAAAACTTTCAACGACATATTTCTAAAATAAAACCATGCAAATAGACTTCAAGCATAATACATTATACCACGGATAAATCCGTGATTATACATGTGAGAATGTTATTTAGAATTGATTCGTGTTTTAACATAGTGGGCATATAGACAATAAAATATAAGTCATTTGTATTTTTATTTCTTTTGGATATGTACGTCTCATTAAAAATATCTTTGGTTAAAATCATCAGCAATTAATAGTCACCGTATTTTTTAGATTTCTTTTATTTGCAAGGGCCAGAGCACATCGTTTTTATTTTAATCTAAATGTCACAAATTTTTTTTAAAAGCACTATAGTGTTTAGTTGTCCTTTTCATTTTCACACTAAATTACATTTTCAACTTGTTTGCTTCTTACAATTGTATAGAATTTCTAAAAAGTATTGCATGTGAACAAAGTAAGTATCCGCTGGTTTATAACATGTATAATGTGTACTCCCTACTGTCCGAAAATCAGCACAGGTAAAGCAGAATCTATTTTTAGAATAGCGAAGGTTAACTCATATCGTGACCTAGAAAATGTATCTAATTTATTAATAACTGCTGAATATTCAGCTAAACCCACGGTATGAGTCACGAAAATAGTTCTTCTTTTATTAATGCGCGAGTTATTCTAGAGTCCAAAAAACTTTTGATTTGGTAATAATTATGTTTTGTATAATGTAGAAATATTTATTTCCTACTAATAATTTCTTGGAACTCAGAGCTTACACCTTTATTATAGTATAATTTGCTGTCCTACTTTTTCGACAGCGGTAAATCGTTTCGGCAGTAATTTGCATAATTGCGCAATAATACTACGGGACTACAACGTTTTTATCAATCATATACGTCCATATTTTAACTTGGATAACTTAATTTGAAATTGAAAAGGCTAAATATGGAAGATTTTAAGATATCCCGACATAGTATGGGAGTTTTAAAGGATCAAATTCATGTACTTTTTCTTGGGCTGTTAATCGGTTGAGGACACTTTGCGCGAGTGTAGCAGACGAAATCCCATGTAGATGACTTAGCTCTGAACGCGCCTGAGGGCGCGTCCGTCGCAAAAATGGTATTGAGTAAGTATATTGAATTATGAATTTGTAATGCTATAGAATTACGAAATTGTAAATTTCAAAGAAGAAGTAATATATGGTAATGCACGTAGAAGCATTGCAAAGCTAGAAGTTGCAGTTAAAGGAAGCAAGTTGGTTAGACGGCTCTCATTTTACATATACGGACAAAAGCTGACATGAATTTAAAAAAAACACCAAAATGTTTAGTGATGAATAACAGCGAAAGTATGAATGACACTGTGCATGGTTGTTTTTTTATCATTGTCCAATCATACTCTTATCATACACCGCTTGATTTTTACATGATGGGTTATTGAAATACTGCCATAGAGAAACTGAAATGTTATACTTTTTTTTTTAATGCGTTTACTTAAGGTCGCCGCCGGAAAGCCCATATGGGCGACCGTACACTCAAGTCAGGCCATCCTAGAGCGTCCCGCCGAGATTTTTCGTCGATTTTTTTCCCAGCATTATTGGTGAAGGAAGACCCCAGGTGCCCCTCCGGGCATTAATTCAGGCACGAGCGGGCACCTGGGTAGAACCACCGACCTTCCGTAAGCCAGCTGGATGGCTTCCTCACATGAAAGATTTCGACCCGAATGAGGATCGAACCTACAGCGGTGAGGGACCTGTGATCTCAAGTCAGCGACCTTAACCACTCGGCCACGGAGTGTACATTTTTTTTTTTCATGCGTTTATTTAAGGTCGCCGCCGGAAAGCCCATATGGGCGACCGTACACTCAAGTCGGGCCATCCTAGAGCGTCCCGCCGAGATTTTTTCGTCGATTTTTTCCCAGCTTTATTGGTGGAGGATGACCCCAGGTGCCCCTCCGGGCATTATTTCAGGCACGAGCGGGCACCTGGGTAGAACCACCGACCTTCCGTAAGCCAGCTGGATGGCTTCCTCACATGAAAGATTTCGACCCGAGTGAGGATCGAACCTACAGAGGTGAGGGACCTGTGATCTCAAGTCAGCGACCTTAACCACTCGGCCACGGAGTGTACATGTATCTTTGATTGCATTTATACTGCTGGAACCGAAAGTGATTAGCCTTTTGGTTGTAACGTGGTCAGCGATTGGCTAAAAAATGCAAAGAAACCCGTATGATTCAATGGGTCATCAGGTGATTGGATGAAAATGTGATGTTTACAAATATTAAAACTATGTAAGACTATATTGTTTTGAATGTTTTCTTAAGGAAATCAACTGTTTTATAAGTATCTGGAATATTTATATATAGAGCTGAACAGACTTTATTTAAATTTTCATTGTTCCAAAAATGCAAGCCAGACAATATAATGTAATAACAAACAGTCTTGGAAATAATAATTTCATTGTTAATCAAAGTTTGCTATCTAATATGTTGTCTCCTTTCTTTTGTGACGTCTGTAGAGTTGTTCGAAAATGATTCAATATTCGTTTCCAAGAATCCTCCTGCGCGTGTGCATGAGCCTCGGTTTCACCTCCCCACAGTACCAAAATTGTTCCTGTATCATAAATATTTCAGAAATATAAATGTGTACTGAATGAGAAACTATAAATCTTAAAATTGTAATTTCAAGTTTTAACATGAACTTTTAACAGAAATTTCCAAGAAAAGGGCATTTTTATTTCAACATTATTCTTTCACAGCCACAGTGAGAAAATACATGTACATTTAAATCTGCATGGATCTCAACATACTCTAATACTTATAGCTCAAAAATAAATTCCTTAAGACTCAGCAAAAAAGCCTATTTTATCATTATTTTGAAAAAAAGGCTGGGGAATCCCTCAAGGGCAAAAAAGGTAAATACTCGAGATGTTGTATTGATAAATTAGATATTTTATTAAACATTAAACATACTATTATCTGTCGTAAATCCTTTGAGATATTTAATGGCTGATTCAGGGCAATAACCTAATGTAGACCTGGCTAGAGGTGAATATGGTGGTTCTATAAGATGCCCAGCTCCCGGATATCTATATATAGTACAGAGGTGTTTCCGGTTGCTAGGGTAACGTTTCCAAAGATTATATAAAAAGTCCGATTTTAAACATCTGTCATCCAAACCGGAAATAATCAAAACATTGACATCTTTGGTCCATATCTGTAACAAAAATGCACATACATGTACGTTATTGATGTTCCATGCGTGCGCACGCTCTGTGTGTGCCACATAATAAAGGCAAACTAGAAAACAAAGGAAATAAATGAAATGAAGAAAATACTTTAGACAACATTAAATGACTACAATGTATTGTATATAGTTTATGATGTACATACAAAAAAAAATGGTTTTTCTGCAATACATTAAATTAATGATGTATATCTTTCTAAGTTATTGCTGGAATTGAGAGAGAAAAAGGACCTATATATTTAAAAATTATTCACGAAAGAGCAAGTGCTAATTAGTTGTGTTTCAGTAAAATAAATATTACGAAAATATATGGAAAATACATAAAAAACATACCGGGACATAATCTTCAACATTGCAGTACAACGTCTCGGTAACATCCACTCCTTCTTTCGTAACAATAATTTTATCATATCTGTTTCTGAAAAGCACAAAACTAATTTAGGGCTGAAATGATAATACAATATCCAACATAACATACATGCACTTTATTAAGAAAAAAGTTCTTATATACAATATTAAGCTCAATAGTGTAAATGTATTAAAACCACTAAATTTAATGTAACTGTGAAATATACATGAATATATATAGAATTGAAAGCCACACCAATCGACGAAATCTTGAAAACACTTCCAAGCAGTGTACGGTACCCGCGCAGTATTTTATAATCACTCAATAATAGTATATGTTTAAAAACAATATGCATATGACAAAAATAAGAATTATAAGTTATTTGGCGTGCGTCATTGCAACTGATGGCCCCGGAAAAAATGTATCAGTGCAACTGATGGCCCAGGAATAATGAATCACTACAACTGGTGGCCCTGGAATAATGTATCACTGCAACTGGTGGCCTCGGAACAACAGTGTAAAGGACAAAAGATGCTATGACATGAAATAATATACTATTATTGTGTAATATACACCATGGCACACACTTTACGTAACAAAGAAATGATATTGTTCACTAATTACAAAGAACTTAATGCGTTACTCTGTTTGTCCAATATATTCCTCTTTGTACAACATTGGCATAGAGGTAAAGAACGGACCGCCATTGATTGATACCACTGACTTTATCTGAAAATCAATTTATAATTTCCATGTACAATAAAGTGAGAAAATATTTTTATTTATTTATATTCCAATCAAGACATAATTCAGTACAGTTACAGAATGTCTTAAACAAATGTATCTCCGTTAATTAGCATTAATGAAAAGAAATAGACTTTATTCGTCCAAAGTCAACTGATAGTTGAATATTTGATTTAGATCCAACAGTACAATCATTTACTTCAGGCAAGAATATTAATTTCTTATTTAAAACTTAAGTACCTTTCCTTTCCTTAAGTAAAAGTGGCAACATACAATAAAAAAAATAAAGTAAACAAAAACATAAAAATATTTAAACCTTATCATTGTAAAGTCCTAGATGAAAGGCGATCTCGCCTCCTTTGGATACACCAAGTACCCCTATATTGTTGCCGTCAATTAATGGATGAACATATAGCCAATCAACAGTCTCCTGAAATCAATATACGAGTATATGACGTCATGAATTAGAGAGCCAATCAACAGTAAGATGACATTATGACTTAAAAAGCCAATGAAACCAGGACGACGTCATGGACAAGAGTCAACAAGTCAGTGATGGCTTCATGCCTAGCAAATCAAAAAGGTTTCTTGCAAGGAAAAGTTTAAAAATTTAAATACCAAAAATAAATTTAATACCAAAATTTTATACTAAAGGTCCCAAAAAAAGTCATTTAAAAATTTTGTTTGTTTTCAATTAACTTTTTCGTCAACATAGAGTCAGTTATATTCCTTTTTTAAAAATTGTTTAAAAAGGAATTGTACCGAGAGTATAGTTTACAATAACCGATGAATAGCCGAGGGTAGTATGTATTATGCATACGTTAGAGATTTGTCTGCCAAACGCCTTGATGATAACACTTTTTTTACTTCTAAATTGTACTCCAATATTCTTTCTTAAAGCCATTTGAAACTATCATGTGTGCATGAAGTATATATTTTATTGCCAATTTATATAAAAAGTAATAATAATGATAAAAAATACAACGTTGATTAACCAATCATGAACGGTTTACAAATCACGTGCCCCTCCATATTTCAAACATGGGTCACGTGACCCTCCATACCTTAAAAATTACAAGTTTGTAGTGCTATATTCCAGCGGGCTCCAGCCCGCAGGGAATTATATTTATCTGAAATGAAGACGGTGTCATAAAGAAAAAGAACCAATCAAAAGTTTTTCGAGAATGAAGATAACCTCGTAGACATAGATTAAAATATGTTAGCAACAAGATTGCAATGATGATTCTGGCTTGTAATAAGTATGTGATCTTTATGTTTATGTACACTTAAAAGTCCAAGACTTCCTAATTTAGTAGTCATCCTAAGTAACGGTCGAAATATTGATAAATATATTGGCAATTTAAATATTTTTAAAACTGTCTACGCATGACCAATTTTCCAAGATTCTCCAGATATCGTTCATAGAATAATATGCCTTACAGGGATAAACTGAAGAACTGAAATATATGCGTGTACTTACCATAAAATATTCCAATTCCAATTCCCCTAAATCAACTGGAAGATCGTCGTGTAAGAAATATGGTAGAGCAATAGCAGCAAATCCTCTAGATGCTAATAAAGCTGCTCTAAATTCTATACACGAGCCGACTACACCAAACATATCAATTACACATGGAAATGGACCTTTACCTGAAATTTTGAAGGATAAGAAGAGTTTTAATTCGCAAACGTTTTGTTTGAAAAAGTTCTTTAAAATTTTGGTGTTTAAATTCAGAAAGGATAATGATTCGAAATAAACATTTAAGCGATAGTAGCACCATTCAAATATGTTGAGAGAGTTACTCATATTTATTACATGCTTTTCGGTGGTTTATAGAAATATATCAGTGATATAAAATTGGTAATTTCACTGTTTGAAACAGTGAAATTACCACTTTGATAATTTCACTGTTTTGAATTTAAGCCCCTTTAATACGTTGTTTCAGTGAAATACCAGCGTGCACAGTACTGGGTACCAACTTAATGACGTGACGTCGTAAATGACGTCACGTTGTATTATTATTTGGCGCCCTTTTCATTCAGTATTAGGTTTAATGTCTTTTTAAATCGTTTCTTTGCATGTAATAAAAAGAAAATTTGTTTAGTTTAGTGTAAGATCGAAATATATTTCACCTTGTGAACATCAAAAGTTCATAATTCACTCGTGGCTGCGCCACTCGTGAAATATACCTTTTGGTGCTCACTCGGTGAAATATATTCCGATCTTACACTGAACTAAACAAATATCCTCTATATAAAAATGTCATTAACGTTTTGGCAAATGTCTAGCAGCACACTTGTCTCCTAGAATTACTGTATGACTTTTAATGGTAGTATTTTCCTTTACAAAAAATGACTTTAAATTTACACAGATATTATTTATACTTTCTTCCAACTTTTCTACTAAATTCTGAATATTGAAAAGTGACATATTTAGAATCCCTTGTAATGGATCAACTAACCAGGTGGGAGGAATAGTGTTCCACGAATCCGTCCGCTCCTGACCTTGACTTTCTGAACACCTTTCACAATATACCATCTATTAATTCGCTTACTACATAACTGATCAACATTTAAAGTGTATGTTTGTTTTAATGTAAAATGTCCGGAGAATACTGTCAAATTCGTAAGAAGAGGTGACGAAGCATTTTTCTTTATAAGACGAATTCCTTTCGGCATCCCTGGAGCGATCTGCATGCTCCAGAAGAGACCCATCGAAGAAACTCCTGTAAATTTAAAGAATCGAAAACTTGGTAAGAACTTATCCATAACTAACATAGATATTTCAATGCCCAACTTTGAAAACAGAAACCAAGGGAAGGACATGAAGTGGTTGCACGCTTGGTTCAAGCGAGTAAAATGGTGGCAGACTTGATAAAATGACTACCAAGTCAGGGATATCTATAACGCTCACACGTATTATCTCTAGGGGTTTGTATGTTACAAATATTTTAAAAGCATGAAAACAATATGTTTATGATACACGTGGTTTTAGGTTTCAGCTTACTTGCTTCTTATTTGACGAATTTTTAGAATACATAAACTAGAAAAGTACATAGAGTTTGTTATTTGACAAGTAACTTTTCTGGTCGGTTTTCCTACTCATCGAATCACTTCTGTAAGTTTTGAAGTTCATCAAATAGAACAATATATGTTTTTGTCAATACAGTATACTCGTAAATGTCCCAAATAAAGTTTGTATATACAAAAATCTCTTGTTTAAGCGCATTTTTAAAAGCGTCAAATCAAAAGCTATGAAGATGAAAGCTAAAACAGGGTGTTTCGTAAGCATTACCTTAATGCATGGACATATTCAAAAAATTCAAAATTACATACAAACCCACTTGTATGGAGAAAATATGTGCGAGCGCTATAAATCCTCGGTAGCCATTTTGTCAAGTTGGCAACTATTTCGTCCGCTTCCTGCCTCTTGAAAATGTTTGAGATGTAACACATGGTAGGCCCTAACATTAAAATGCCACGAAGGTATGTAACCTTGTGGTGCAAAAGACACGGCATGGCTGCTGGATAAGAATCGCCAGTTTTTGAATATAATGCTTCGTACTCATGTGAAATTGTAATTATTCAACGGCAATTTAAATAAATTTTGTACTTATATAACTATGTCATAATGCTTTAAAAAAACCGACAGACAAAGAAGTTAAACTGACACAAATGATTTATGTTCCCATTTTGGGGAGGCTATGCCGACCCAATGTTAATAACTGTCTGTCAAATCTTACTGCCGCGGTAATCAGGTCAAAAAATAGTACCTTGATTTTTTCTAAGCTGACTCATCACTCATCACAGACATTTACAATATGAAAATATTTTCATTCTTTAATTTCATATCTGCAATTTGTAAAGATAATAATTCTCTGAAAAATTCTTGATTTTTGTTTAAATCACTACTCCGTGACGTCATACTGCCACGGTAATCAGGTCAAAAAATAGTACCTTGATTTTTTCTAAGCTGACTCATCACTCATCACAGACATTTACAATATGAAAATATTTTCATTCTTTAGTTTCATATCTGCAATTTGTAAAGATAATAATTCTCTGAAAAATTCTTGATTTTTGTTTAAATCACTACTCCGTGACGTCATACTGCCGCGGTAATCAGGTTTAGGCATACGTATACGTCTGTATTAAATAGTTCTGGTATGAAAACCCTTCAAAATAATAACTTTATCCATATTTTTTTAACAAAAAGCATAAATGAAAATTTATAAGTAAATGCTTTAATTCAGTGGCAAATATTCTTTATTATTTTTGATAACAATTTTCCAATTACTACGCAGCGACCAACTGTTTATGACGGTCATTAACTAGAACGTTGCAACTACGTATTCTCAATATCATGCATGTGCTTTTGTTGTTATAAACTATTAATAGTCCTTAATATTTTTTAAAGACAAATAATTGTAAACTGTCGCTTACATCAGAGACATGGATCATGCTTGCGTGATAACTAAGGAAAACTAACTTATTTGTACACCCCAGGAGGCTGTACGCGGAAAACGCTCATAAACCGCTAAATCATATAGCTGTTTAGTAAATATTTTGCATACATTTAACTAAAAATTCACTGATGGTGATGTACATATAGTTTAAAAACATTTTATTCTTTAACCATTATCGCCGAAAAAAAAACTATTTAACTACAAAACCCCTAAGGACCTCCGACAAAATCCCAGCACAATATTACATTTTACATTAGCAAAATAAAAAAAGCAATACTTATATTTTCATCTTACATAATTCATTAATCAAACTTTTAACATAAAAGTATCTTTGGTAATTGACAGATCCCTACTCTGATCTTTTATTTGTATAGGAATAAATTTAAACATGTGCTCTTTTGTTTAGGAATATTTTGTAGTGAAAGTCTTATATATTCACTAATCTCATAATTAGAATTAGACAGGTCAGGAATTTATACAAACAGTTGTTTAGTTAACTATGCTCATTTTAATCCCAATAGAAACATTCAAATATTTGTGGTAAAAAACATGACCAAAGTACCTAGTAGTCGTTTACCCGGTGGTGATCCCATTAAACTGATTATAGATTCGAATTGATTAGAAAACACAAATAGAAACATGTGTTTCCGTACAACAAAATCGGAAGTAAAGTGAACAGTTAATTGACAGAAATATGTGGTCAAATATGTTTTAACAAGGAAATAAGTATTTCAGAGAAAGACGCAAAGATCAGTATGACCCCGTATTGTGTAATTAGAAAGTTTATTCAATTCTAGGGCATACATCATAATTTGATAGTCCATTTGTAATAAAATTCAAATTTTCAATACAGATTATGAGATACATAAAAAATATTAAAGAATAAGAAGCTTTAATTAAAAAACAAAACAAAAAAACAAAAAAAAAACCGCATACATATACAAATTACTTACAGTCGAGCATCGGGAAGTCATTAACATATCTTACGAAACTTTAATTTGAAATCGATATTTGCTCGCGCTGAAGTGATAAATGTTTATTTGAAAAATAAAAAAAAGAACTTTTATGGTTGTGTTCTAAAAATAATGGGCGGCATAAGAGGAATTTCTTATTCATTTTACAACACTTGAAAAATTACTACAGAAAATGTGTTGTTGTTTTGTTTTCAACAAAAGTGTGTGTGTTTTAAGTTTATTTATACTCGGCGCCGGAATAACCATATGTCCGAGATTATAGCATCTGGGACGTCTTTTTCAAGCAGATTCTTCCTGGAAGCCCATTCTTCGTTCTTTGGTGGTAAAGGAGACGACAATACCGTCAAGGCATCAACTTTCTGACTGACGACAACAAAAACGGCATCTATTATTAGCGCCAAACCTCCAGAGTAAGTCACGACAGGTCAACCAATCACCTCTGGTACTTATGATGACTTGACTATGACCTTCCGTGTGCCTTCTCCGCGACGTGCACGCCTCTGGAGGTATTTGGAGAAGTTTCAACAAAAACTTCCAAAACACGCCATTTATAACACCATTCATAGCACTGACGGCTTCGATGTTCTCATCTATTTGCGGGAAATGGTCGACAGGGAAAACCCTACGTAATAACCGCACACCCTGTTAACAACAGATTTTCCGCAGTATATATTTCAAGCTAGTGAGGTTTAAAAATACACGTAGAATCTATCGATTAACTACCATAAGTTGGTTGAGTGTTGAGTGTTGGCGGTAAAAAAAGAAGATATAACTTCCTGATCAATTTTCACTTAGGTTGATTCAGTTTTGAATAAGCTTTGCAGAGATGTATTTTTTCAAGAAATATTTAGCTTTAATATTATCCGACGCCGTCAGTAATGAAATGGGATTAATTTTCTGAAACGTGATTTTATTCGGGATTTGCTTCTGAAGAAGACAACCTTCTGTCCGTAGAGCATGAATGTTAATACTCATCACAAGTATGTTATTGATCTCAATTATGGTACATCTAAACGTGTATAATTTTTATGTTCAATAAAAATGTTGCATCACGTGCAGTTGTTATTATCATTCAATAATATTAAAATGACATAAAATATTTATGATGAACAGTCCTAGAATATTTTGATAAGGAACCGTCAGTTGTAAAATGTTATTGTTATCTGATAATGAACAGTCGTCATACTTGCTGGTATGTCATTTATTATTGACAGTTTAGGTTTTTCAAAATTTGCATGATTAACAGTCCGAATGTAGACCTTAATTAAATGTTCTGGAATATTAACAAAATGAATAGTCAACCTCATTAACCATATATATGAATGGTTGAACACAACAGTAAGGATAAATAGCGCAATGTGCATATCTTTTTATTTTGGTAGCATATTTTAAGCAAAAAGAAAAGAAACTATAAGTCTGAAACATTCTCTCATAGCCTCCCCATCAGTACATTCAGTGCTTTGATTACATAAGTAATGGCATGTTGTACATGTCACATGACGTACCTTTATATGTTCCACATTTTGACGGCTGAGTTGAAACATCCACTGTGCCTGTGTCGTTAGCGACGAAACACCCGCTTCCAGCAAATATCTGACCTTTCTCGATGACCTCTGCTCTAATAGTGACATGCTGATTTTTCTGCAGTCCGTCAACAGTAATTTTGACAGTTTCGTCAACTAACGCATCTTCTTTGTCAACAAATATTTTTGTTGTCATTTTATTGCTTCATAAGATATCTAATATACACAGATGTAAGAATGGTGCCAGCTTAAATGAACTTTTTACGTACTTTTTAACAGTGAACAGATTGCACTGTAATGCCTATATGGCACAAAATTGAAATGGTTAAAATTGCACGCGCATAACGTGCTCAGCTTCCGGAGTTTGACAGAGACAATAATTATTATGTCGCAACTGCTACCCCTCAGTTCCACGCAATATAATCCTATACCTCGATCTTTGCACAATGGTACGAGTAATGACTATAATTATACTTAAGTTGCACTTGATGATTATACAAAATTTAAATCCACCTCTGAGAAACTATTATCTGTATCACAACTTTTGCTGAACTTTTTTACCTGGTGATTTATGGTATAAAACGAATGGTTTTAATGTTGCAAATGAGTTTAATCTTCTATTTACATAACATACTTTAACATTATGAACTAAACAAAATCGTTAAATTTGACCCTACCGTGTCACGTGAACAGAACTTTTCACAAATAAAAAAATATATAATATCACTGTAAGGATATATGTACTACATATCGTGTCATGAGGTGGGCAAACATTTTGCACCAAATTTATGTATTATTAATAGACAAGCTGGGTCACGACTTTACAGGCGACCCTGTGACCATATTACTTAAAATAGTGTGAAAATTAAATAATTATATTGCAAGAAAGTGTCCCATTTTAGATATTTCGATGCGGGTTCAGCAAAATAAATACGATAACCCCAATAGGCATATATATTGTGTACATAATCACGTCTGTAATTAAAGTCGTGGTGTAATATTGCTAGAGACATTTTAATTGAATGTATCTGATATGGCTATATTTGTACATTAAAGTTGTATGTTAAATATATATATTTGTTGTGTAATTTTTATATTGAAAAAAAAAAGATTACTAGCTGGAGGTTACGTACCACGGAGGATACGTACCAGGAGGTTACGTACCATTTTTGGAGGTTACGTACCACTTATATATTTTGGAGGATACGTACCATATATATATAATTTATATAAAATACAAATAATATAGAGCATAACAGTTATAAAAAAGACCGAATTTTATAACTTTAATATTACTTTTTAAAAATCACACATGAGCAATTATTAATATAAATGCAAACGTTTTATATATGATTATCACACATTCAGAAATGAGTAATCTAACAAATCACAAACAAATTGCAAACTATTGACATATGAGTGAATCAGTGTGGTGTACAGAAAGCAGCATGACGGAATCAGCACACTGTTTAGTTTGTTCTAAAGAAGTTACAAGAAGACAACATGCTACATTATGGGACATAACATTTTATATATGTCCCAGCTACCATGGACACATTCACCGAACTATTTAATTTGTTTTTATTGTATTTTTACGTGTGCGCTACATTGTATTAATTCACGGACAATGATAACATGATCAACGAACTGTTATCTACATAATTATGTACATTGTACCTGGGATAGAATAAAAAAACTGGTTCCCCAATTTTTACAAAAGGGGTAAAAAAGGAAAAAAAAACTACATTTTTTGCGAGAAAGAATTTTTCCCGAAAATAAAATGGGGCCAAAAATTTAAAATTTTCAACTGCAATTTTTTTTAATTTGAGCTATAAATAAATTTTACAAAATAAATTCAAAATAAAAATATTGTTAAGTTTTAAAAGCCGTATTTGTAACGGTACCCGGCCCCTTAACGGAAAAATTTTGGGAATAATACTTGTTTCCTTGACCTTTTTAGGATATTCCCAAAATGTCAGCTGTTTCGGGGGAAATCCCTGGTACAATTTTCAATTTAAAACCCAAACCCAAAGTGGAAAATTTAAAAAGAAACCTGTGCGCCATGTTTCAAATGTGATTTTTATTAAACATTTTCTTTTTGGGAATTTTTTTTTCACTTTGGGTTTTTAAAGAAAAACACAACATTGTAAACTGTCCAGGTCACGTTTTTTCATCCCGTTTACAAACCCCAAAAGGGCAGCAATTTTGGACAAAAGATCGATATAAAAAATAAACTCATTTTTTTTTGGGTTAAATGTACAACGTACACATTAATTTTAGTTATTTCAATTTTTGAAAATAGGAAAGTTTCCAAAACATATTTTTAATAATTCACAGCCCTTTTTTTTAAAAAAATGCTTTTTTCCCAAAATTTTTATTAAAAATGAATAACCCCCTTTCCCCCCTCAGGATTCTGCATCTGTAGGCCTAAATAAACTGATAAAGAGTTATGCCCCATACTGTTCATATAGAACTGGTCAAGAATTTTAATGTTATGATAATAGAAAGATTATACTATTCTACCAGAGACATAGATAACTACATCTATGATTCTACTGCACTTGTTTTTCTGTCACATTAATTGGTGCATGGGGCACTGCTAAGCACTAGTCCGATATATCAGAGTTACAGGCTTGTTATAGTTTATGTCTGGTCAAGCTTGACCAACATGCTTTGCGCAGAAGCAAAAATATCTCAAAGCGACGTCATATTTAAAGGACTACTTAAGCACTTGGTTTCAGGATAAATCCCATTTGAGAGGTTTGTAGAACTCTTGAAAATTTAATTGAATGTAAAGTTTTTTTTAACGAAGATTTCTTGATTATTCTAAAACCGACATTTTCTGATGTAAGTAATGTTTTTTTAGTCAAATCGGAAAAATGACAGTTTAAGAATCAAGACAGTTACTACGTTAAAAAATGTTAACATTCAATCAAATCAGAATTTACCACGAAACCAATTAAGTGCCTATGCACTGTTCTGCACCACCATTTAGATATATAAGCCGTAGTGTCTGCCATACAGCAGGAATGATTGTTTATAATATTATATATTTTTGGGTACAGGTAGCAGTGGGGAGTGTTATTAATAAAAATATTTGGTTAGTGAGCTGAATCCCTACAGGCTTGCTTCAAGGGTAAATATTGCCAAGATATGTAACAGTGTGAAATGCATGTCCTGTTTTTAAATTTGAAACAATTCAAACTGTCTGTGTTTATCGTCTGTTGATTCAATATCAAAATGCTTAAAATTAATAGGTAGCATTCTCACTAATTTGGTCTGAACAGCAAGCACAAAAGTACAGATAATCAGACATGTGTGGTTATAGGCTATTATCATGTCATTATCACCTTCAACTTACAGAGTGTGATCTGTTATATTATATATAATATAATATTTCAACTTTTCATATATTTATCATATGTATAACATTTTCATGACTGTACATTCATCCTAAAATTTGAATGAGCTCCATGTTTTTATTTTTCAATGATATGGATAAAAAATTTGCATACTTGTAGATATTAATTTTGACTGTTGCAGTAATATTTTGAACTTTTCAGGATGCTATCAGACGAGGCATTGTGGGAATGGTGGGCAGGTAATTCAAGCATATTGCATTTTGTTACACAAAGAAGCCTTCTAGCCAATATGATTGTTTAAGCCTTAGTATGGGCTGTCCTTAAATTTTCAAGTATTGATGCATAGATCCCTGACCTGTCTTTTTCTAATTATCAGATTGGTGGATACAATAAGAATTTCACTGCAAAATTTTTGTTAAAAAAAAACCAAAAATGCCCAATGGAATTTTTTGTTTTTTAAAAATTAAAAGTTTGTTTTTCCAAATGAAAATCAGATTAGGGATAGGGTTTTCTATCCGTCAAATTTAAAAATTTAAGTGGAAGCGCAAACCCTTTTTTATCTCATTTGATGTTGGGGGTTTTGGGCAAAAAATGGGGAAGCAAAAAAGGAATTTTGAAAATTGCAGTTCTCATTTGATGGAAAGGGAAGGGACTTATAAACCAACAAAAAAAAAAATAAAAATTTTAAAAAAGAAAAAGAAAAAAAGTTTTTCTTTTAAATTTTAAATTTATTTTTGAAACTTTTTTAAATAATTTTCCCGTTAATTAGAAAATTGAGTATAAAAAAGATCCCTGGGCCTCAGCACAGACTTTTAACAAAAATTTTTAAAAAAATTAAAGAAGCTCATTGTTTGAGATAAAAAACCAACCATTATGCGTTTGCGACCAACATGGATCTAAACCAGTCTGCGCATCCTAGCAGTCTGATCAGGATCCATGCTGGTCCTTACAAACCCTATAACAAGTAGAGAGAAACTGATAGCGAACAGCATCGATCCCTTTGGTCTTGATCCATGCTTGGTCGCAAACAACATCACGTTGGGTTTTTTCATGGCATGGCTCATATATACCATAGGCTGCAGGGGGTGACTTATTCTATCTATGACACTGCCCAGTAGTGTAGACCAAGATGCGCTGGCATGATTCATGCTGTCTCATCATGGTCTGCAATATTTGCTTTTCAAGTCGGTACATATTTTGAAATTTTCCATAAAACTGATTTATGGTTTTGTTCATATAGACAGATAGACAAGTCCACATTATGACATAAGATACGCTGTATTTACATGTAGCCTGGTATGGGACATTATTTTTGGTTAAATTATAAAAAGATTTTTGACAGGTTAATATTGCCCAGTATAAATGGTTGTTAGCTTACAAGACATTATCTGTTATATAACCATTTATACACAACCCATATAACATGTCAAAAAGTCTTTTATCCAATATTGATTGAATATTTAGTTGAATATTTATTTATTTCTTTGATGAAAAATATCAATTTTATTCATTTTAATGCAGAGTATAGTATAAAAATTACTACAGTTATTGTCCAATTAAAATTGATATTATAAACATGCAGCATTAAATAATGATTCAAAAGGTACTACTGCTTTATTTGTCACCTGTCATGTTTTAAATTTTTATTGTAATTTTTTTTCAGGACACCTTTAGTAAGAATCAACAAAATCAGTGATGAAACAGGTATGGATAATGTACAATTGATTGGATCATTCAATGATAGATGAATATGTTCTTGGATTTGCTAAACATACTTATGATATCATTTTATTAATTTCCCTATGGCAGGTAAAAAAATTACATAATATAAATGGATACAGTTTTTGTTGAGGGAGAAATCAATTTTATCACATAATCTTCGGTGCAGGAGTGTAATAAAGCCATGTAATAAAAAGGGTTTTAGTGTAATAGTGTAATAACACTTTGACGCGACGTAATTTGTTCGTTATATAAATTTAGCAGTAAAGCGCTAATGATAGTGTTACACTATAGGCGCATCAACGAAAAATAACTCTTTTTTTTTAACAGTTTACTATTCTTATTTTATATATGTGACAAATAGAATATTATATTCGTGTAGATTCAATACTAAATTTATTGAACTCGTTGAAAAAAACAATGTTATGCTGGCCAGAGGCTCGCATATTATGATTTTATTCAACTTGTTCAATAAATTCAGTATTAAACCTACACTAACTCAATATCGTCTATATATTTTCAACTTTACAGGTTGTGAAATTTTAGCTAAAGCTGAGTTTTGTAATGGAGGTGGATCAGTTAAGG